TAATGAGATTCTATAACAATGTAAAAACAAAACAAGAGTCTTATTATATAGTGACAGAACATATCTATATTTGGAACAAATATTGTACACTAATGAGATATAAAGTCAAAGAATATTTACATTGATTAGGCATAATTAGTTTCCTATTATGCAGATTGTAATTCTTGTATATAATACATGTTCATGATCAATAAAAAGCAGTGAAAAACATTTTCTTATATGGTATCAGAACGGTTTTGATCCATTTTTTTTTCTCTCTTCCGCTCCAAACAAATTCCTTTTTCTCTTCCACCATGTCTTCAACCTCCGAAAACTCTTCAAACAACAGCACCGGCACGGAAACGCCAACATCTCAACCTAAATTTCACTCTGCCTTCGCAATTACAAACGTGAAAACCATCATTCCAATCACATTAGATAATGATTCCAGTCTCTATCTCTCTTGGTCTGCTCTGTTTCAGGTTCAAGCACGTGTCCACAACGTCCTTGATCATATTATCCCTCCCACCGATGCGGCAACCCAACAAGAAGTCGCACAAACAAAGACCAATGATCCAAACCTCTGGAACCGTCTTGACGCTGTTGTTTTACAGTGGATGTATGCCACCGTTACCCAGGACATCCTTAGCTCTATCCTGGTGCTTAACGACACCGCCGAAAGCTGTTGGAAACGAATTGCTGCTATGTTTCAAGATAACAAGCATTCGAGAGCAGTCCACCTCGAACATCAATTCACCAACACGCACTTGGAAGATTTCCCGTCGACAAAAGCATATTGCAATCGCCTCAAACTCCTCGCAGATCAACTTGCAAATGTTGATTCTCCCGTCAACAACACTCGTCTTGTGTTGAAGATGATTTCTGGACTGACAGATTCATATGCAGGATTTGTCACATACATTCAGCAACACGATCCATTACCAACCTTTGAAACGGCGAAATCGCGATTGGAATTAGAAGAATCGACGATGGCCCAACGTACTGCACGCGAATCCAGCACTATCTCTTCTCCAACGGCCCTACTCGTGAAAACCCCAACCTCTGACAACTCCTCCACCTCTCCCAACGCGTTTTCCGCCCGAAATTTGACTGCAAACAATGGAAATCGCGGTATCAACAACAGAGGCAGAAACGGCAACCGAGGTAAAGGTCGAAGCTCCGGCAGAGGAGGACGTCACAACCACGGAGGGATGCAGTTCAATGGTGGTGGTGGACGCGGTGGCCCGAACTCGGGCTGGCAGCAGCAACCTCCTTCTCCGTATCCTTGGCAACAGTGGCAACAACAACAATATGCACCATGGGCTCCTCCTCCATCTCCGTATCCTTCTTATTGGCCTAGGCCCAATGCTGGCCCAAAAACTCAGCAAGCAGGAATTCTTGGAAATAGGCCACAATCTGCTGCCTTTGCTGCAACTGGGCCAAGCCCAACAGATATTGAAGCTGCTCTTCACACTCTCCATCTTGCTCAATCTGACCCATCATGGTACATGGACACTGGAGCAACATCTCATATGACATCCACACAAGGTAATCTCTCATCTTATTTTAATTTGAGCAAAAATAATAGTATTATCGTAGGAAATGGTCATTCAGTTCCTATTCATGGTTTTGGAAATGCTAACTTATCCCCCCACACCCTCCATTAACTTTATCTAATGTCCTCCATGCACCGAAATTGATTAAGAATTTAATCTCTGTTCGTAAATTCACTACCGATAACCATGTTTCTGTTGAATTTGATCCATTTGGTTTTTCTGTAAAGAACTTTCAGACGGGGATGGTTCTAATGCGATGTGAGAGTCAAGGCCAACTATATCCCATCACCAACACAACAAAGAATAAACACATCTTTCCTTCTGAGTTTGCAGCTTTATCTACCTCTGTCTGGCACAACCGTTTGGGTCATCCAGGAGCATCTATTTTAGATTCTCTTCGAAAAAATAAAATGATTGAATGTGCTCCTAATTTACAGTCCACTTCAACTTTGTGTCCTTCTTGTCCTCTTGGTAAACATGTTAAAATGCCATTTATTGATTCGCAAAATTCTACATTCATGCCATTTGACATACTACATAGTGATGTATGGACATCTCCCGTATTGAGTACTTCCGGTCATAAATATTATGTGCTTTTTTTGGATGACTATTCGAATTTTCTGTGGACTTTTCCAATTTCACATAAATCTCAAGTTTTTCCAACCTTTGAAAAATTAAGAGCATATATTAAAACTCAATTTCAACTGGAAGTTAAAAATATTCAGTGCGATAATGGTAGAGAATATGTCAATAGTAACTTTCAAAAACTTTGTGAAGCAAATGGAATTTCATTTCGTTTCTCATGCCCTCATACTTCATCTCAAAATGGAAAAGCTGAACGAAAAATCCGTTCTATTAATAATATAGTTCGGACTTTACTCATTCATGCATCTTTACCTCCAAGTTTTTGGCACCATGCCTTACAAATGGCAACTTATTTGTTGAACATTTTACCAAATAAAAAGTTGAATTATCAATCACCTCTCAAAATCCTTTTTCAAAAGCATCCATCCTACTCTCATCTACGTGTATTCGGTTGTTTATGTTACCCTCTTTTTCCATCCACTACTATAAATAAACTCCAGTCTCGATCCACCCCATGTGTTTTTTTAGGATATCCTTCCAATCATCGCGGGTACAAATGTTATGATTTATCACAAAATAAAATCATCCTTTGTCGCCATGTCATATTTGATGAATCGGAATTTCCCTTCTCTAAACTACACACTACTAATCCGGAAAATTATCAATTTCTTGATAATGAATTATCACCTTACATCATAAATCACCTCATCACTCAACCTGACCCATATCCAATGACACCGACCCACATCACTCAGCAACAGTCTCAAACCCATGACCAATCAGAACCGGCCCAAACTACCTCTCAATTGGCCCAAACTTTGCCATCCACATCTACTCCGCCAAATATCCCACTTCCTCCCATTTACCAACCTACCCTTAATTCTAACAACAAACCAGTTACGAGGAGCCAACATGGCATTTTTAAACCAAACCAAAAATACATCAATCTCCACACCGAAGTTACAAAATCTCCTCTCCCTCGTAACCCAGTGTTAGCACTAAAAGACCTAAATTGGAAAATGGCTATGGATGATGAATACAATGCTCTTATTCAAAATAAGACGTGGGATTTAGTGCCCCGTCCACCTGATGCAAATGTTATTCGTTCTATGTGGATTTTTAGGCATAAAGAAAAATCTGATGGTTCTTTTGAGAGGCATAAAGCCCGACTTGTAGGTAACGGTGCAGGTCAACAGGTTGGCATAGATTGTGGGGAGACCTTCAGTCCGGTTGTTAAACCAACCACCATCCGAACAGTACTCAGTCTTTCCTTATCTAAAGCATGGAAAATTCATCAGTTAGACGTCAAGAATGCTTTTCTACATGGTGAACTCAAAGAAACAGTGTATATGCATCAACCTTTGGGCTTTAAGGATCCAAATCATCCTCATCATGTCTGCCGTCTGCGAAAATCTTTGTATGGGCTAAAGCAAGCTCCAAGAGCTTGGTACAAACGATTTGCAGATTATGTATATTCTATCGGGTTTTCTCAAAGCAAGTCAGACAACTCTCTTTTCATCTACCGGAAAGATACACACATGGCCTATCTTCTTCTTTATGTGGACGACATCATTCTCACCGCTTCTTCTGATGATCTTCGCAAGTCTATAATATCACGACTCAGCTCTGAATTTGCTATGAAAGACTTGGGACCACTCCATTATTTTTTGGGTATTGCAGTTACTCGACATAATGGTGGTCTGTTCTTATCTCAGAAAAAGTATGCAGATGAAATTCTTGAGCGAGCAGGCATGTCATCATGCAAATCATGTCCCACTCCGGTTGACACTAAACCGAAGCTTAGCGCCAAGACTAGCACTCCCTATGAAGACCCATCATTATACCGTAGCCTTGCTGGTGCTCTCCAATACCTCACTTTCACGAGACCCGACATCACATATGCGGTACAACAAATATGTCTTTTTATGCATGACCCCATGGAAGATCACATGCACTCTCTCCGACGAATTTTGCGTTACATTCAGGGAACTAGTCACTACGGTTTACATCTCTATCCATCATCCACTACATCTTTGATTTCTTACACAGATGCTGACTGGGGAGGATGTCCCGACACTAGACGCTCTACTTCAGGCTATTGTGTTTTTCTTGGAGACAACTTATTATCATGGTCGTCTAAACGACAACCCACACTCTCCCGATCCAGTGCTGAAGCTGAATATCGTGGAGTTGCCAATGTCGTCTCTGAGTCATGCTGGTTACGTAACCTACTCCTCGAGCTACATTATCCGATACACAAAGCTACTATGGTATACTGTGATAACGTAAGTGCCATATATCTTTCTGGTAATCCTGTTCAACATCAACGTACAAAACATATTGAGATGGACATTCACTTTGTACGTGAAAAAGTAGCTCGCGGACAGATACGCGTCTTGCATGTTCCATCGCGCTATCAAATTGCGGATATTTTCACCAAGGGTCTTCCCCTAATACTATTTCAAGATTTCCGAGACAGTTTAAGCGTACGTCAACCTCCCGCTTCAACTGCGGGGGTGTGACAGAACATATCTATATTTGGAACAAATATTGTACACTAATGAGATATAAAGTCAAAGAATATTTACATTGATTAGGCATAATTAGTTTCCTATTATGCAGATTGTAATTCTTGTATATAATACATGTTCATGATCAATAAAAAGCAGTGAAAAACATTTTCTTATATATAGTTACATATGTTCTTCCTTCTTTGTTCTCACAATATATGGCTGAAAATCTTTGCATGAAAATCAAAGTCGAGTGATACCTGGCTGTGTGCAGGCTGGAAAGTCAAGTGAGGCCATGGATCCACATCACATGTTATGTTAACTTAGCATCACAACAATATGCAAAGAACGTGTATGAAAAGTTGAAGTATCAGTGGCAAAAACAGTGGCAGCAACTCCAATAGAAATAGAAGAAATTGAACATGAAGATTGAGATTGAAAAGAAGAAAATTCCACAGGCTTTCTTGAAAACCAAACTGCAATAATATAAATGGTCCCACATCAAAAGTTTAACATAAATGAACGAAACGATGCGGTTTTGTAGTTTTTCAGGGTTAAAGACTGTGACGTTTCGTCTGTCTTCAAAATGATCTTCTTCCCTCTCTCTAACCGCGGCGGTCACATCTTCTTCTTCGCTCGTTCTTCCGTCGTCGCCATGGCTACATACTCTGATCATCCTGCCACTCTCTTCTCCTCACGTCGTCTTCCTCTCTTCGCCATCTTTCTCCTTTCCTCTGTCATGCCTCACGCTCTTATCTCACCGATCCGGATCTAAATCCTAAACTCGAGGAAGAAATTGAAGCGTAAAGATACGATTCTGAACATGATAAGTCAAGCAACCAGACAATGCATAAAAGGTGAAGAGAAATGGAAGGATTGCAACTTACCTACGAGAGCAAACTCCGACGGTTCTTTCGAGCGATGGAGAACCAAGAGAACCTCGAAGACTTCAAAGAAACGCCAGGTAATAACAAGCACCATTAATTCTTGTCTTCTCCTTTTTGCGCACGATCTTCTTGTTCTACCTGATCCTTCTACTTCATCTTTTTTTTCTTCTACTCAAAATTTGTGTGTTGTTTGTATTCTGGAATTTCCGTGTGCTTTTGTTTCTGAATCTTCTTCTTTTCTCTTTTAGATTTTATGTTAGAGAGAGAGAGAGTTTTTCTGTTATGAACAAAACCTGCTTATGTTAGCTTGAAAAACAATGTTAGTGAATATGGAAAAGTTAGAATCTGACCTTGTTATTGACTGTTTGCTGTTAGTAAAAATTCTGTCAGTTAATAGGCACGGTTCTGTTATGCTCAGGTTTGGGTCAATTCATGAGTGAAGTTAGAATGTTAACTGATTCATTATTTTTCTTCTTCTATTTTTTATAAGAAAACGAATGATGATCTGACTTTGCTTTGGACTGGTTTATTATGGTGAATCTGGTTAATGTGAAACAGTTTCTGAACTGGTGCATGTTATGCTAATTGGTTTTTTATGAACTGAATGGACTGTTTTGGTTTTTGAACTGGATTGTTATTGGTTTAATTGGTGCAGGTCATGGTTTGGTTGCAGGTCCACATTTGAATGCTACTAGATTTGGACAACGGGTTTGGCACAAGAGTGATGGCATGCTATTGATGTTAAAAATTTGAGAGATTTTTGTTTGAGGACAAACAATGTTTTAAGTTGGGGAGAGTTGATAAATTCCAAAATATTAGTATTTTGTGGCACTTATTAGCTTTGTTCTTTGGTTTTTATGATTAAACTTCAACTTTTGTGTAAATAATAGTATAATCGTGTTTTCGTGTAAATATTGTATCGTTTGATAGTTTTTTTTATCTCTTTTGTAGGTATTTATTGCATGGTTGGAGCATTGACTAATAAGAGTCAAAGGCACAACTTCAAACATTTCACATTCACTTCTTCTTCCACGTGTATCTTCTAATGCAGATAAGAACAAAAGACAATTATTTGCTCTCGTTGAAGGTCTCAACCGTCATTGTCGAACTGTCCCTTTTGTTGTTTTAAAAACTACTAAGTCCCAAATATTACTGCGAACACATGGACTTCGACGCTTTCCTTTTTGGAATAGTTATGTCGAAATATCTCTAACATATCTGTTGAAAAATACATCCAGAACCATCCAAATTCCACTAAATGTTCTTTCAATCTCTTTCTTGGTATGTTGAGATTTGAGGAATCCAAAAATCTCAGCTAATACCAACATATCATCGGTCAACTTCTCCTGCTCCTCCTTAGTCAACCTTTCACGCTCCTTCTGATGCACCCTCTCCCGCTCTTTCTGAATAAACCTATTTTGTACCTCCTAGTTCAACCTCTCCTGTTCCTCCTAATACACACTCTCACATTCCCCCCGAGACACTCTCTCCCGCACCTCCCAGGTCAATTCTCCCGCTCCTTTTTCTAATGCTTCTCGTATCCTCTCACTCACTATTTGATTAACTATCACTTCAATTTCTTTCTTGTACATTACTTCATCACTTTTTTGCGATGATCCAAAAAATAAACTCAAGCTAACGCCTCTTCCAAGACCACAAACACGCCTCTCACGCTCCTCTATTCCAATCGCTTCTACTATTATGTCACGACATTCTTGTGGAACAAATGTACCATCTTTGGGTTTTTCAACCAATAAATTCTACAACATAAATAAAATTTCATCTTTACTAAATTGAATTAACTAAAATAATTAATGTTGAAAAAAATATCTACTTACAATCATTTCAAAAAATTTGCGTGTAGCCTCTGATGTGAACTCGCCTTCTGGTCTCTCATGTGCTCTTTTCCATTTCTCATGGTGTGATGGTGGAGAGGGTTGCGATAAAGGCTTCTAGAAGAATCTTCCAACTCTAATTCTCTTTATTTTCTTTTTTATTCAATCATTATATGTTATAATTTATCAAATCCTCCACGAGACAATCTACGTTGAATTCATGAGTGCTACGAGATTTGACAAAGTTCAGGACCTCTATTCTCCTTTTCTTTTTGGCTCTTAGCCTAGAATTCAGGAGTGATGCGAGATTGACAAAGTTCTCCGAAGTGTCTTTCCCAATAAATATATACAAATAATATGAATGGTGTTAAGCTTTGAATGTGTAATATAATCACTTCTAAGTTACTTCTTAAATCCCCTCCAATGCTCACCAGCATATGTAATCCACTTCTTTCGCAACTTATCATCTCCTGGAACAAGAAACACTTCTTACATTTACATAATAGAATTGATATTAGTATTAAATAAAATAATAAATAATCATATATACTTGCAAAATAAATTATAAAAATGAAAATAAATATCCTAATATCAGCCCATATTTGATCTTTCAATTCACCAGAAATTTCGTTCCAATTATCTATTAAAATGTCGACTTTTCTTCTACGTTGTAATGTCATATAACTCTTAAAATTATCAGCATTTTCATCATAAACCTTACCTGTTATTAAAAAAATCAATCGGGTAGTTAATACCGCTTTGGTGGGATTTTGACAACTCTATCATCATCGTTACACCTCTAGAATTTTTTATACTTTTAATCTTAGCCGAGGTTGTATGGAGGGTGTTGGTCGAATTGTTCATCTCTATTTAAACAAGAATGACAATAAACATTATACTTAGAAAATCAATAAAGACACCTAATGCATATGAACTATACTACTCATGGTACAAATGTACTTTTGTCAACAAAAAGACTAAAGAGGAAAACTCATTTTTATCAAATTAATTAGAATAGCTTAACTCAACATAATATATAAGAAATACGCAATTCACAACAACAAAAACTAACATTTCAAAGATATGTGCTGTTAGACGGTGTGGCAAGTGATCGAGAGGGAGGGGGTGAATATATCACCTCCTTATTCTTCAAGGATTTAAAATCTTTTATCAAAGTTTGTTAAAAGCAGCAGGAAAGTAAGGTCCATAATCAACTTCCGTCTATTTTGAACCAACTACTAGAAAACTGGACATGCGATAAACTTGTTGGATTTTATTAGTATGAAATAAATGAATCTTAAACACAGATTACTTAACGTTTTTAATGCACTTATCGCTAAAACAATATTTCCAATGAATTAAAAACGTGTAAGCAATTTTGTCAAACGGTTGGCGTACGCTTGTTTGATGATTAATAATGGTGATTTGATGAAAGTATTTGAACAACTATTTTATCATTAAACAGAAAACTCAGCAAGCCAATTTGAATCACAAAATTGAGGAAAATGTAAAGAGATAGAGAGAAAGAAAGAATAATACGCAGACAGTTTGGTAAGGAAGTTCCCCACTGTCGTCCTCGCGTGTGGGTACGTCTCCCTCTCAATTCCAAAATTGAAATTGAGAACTCTTATAAAATTTTTGCTGAATGTTTGAATACAAGGTTATACTACACAGACAAAAAGAAATCCCTAAGATCTTCTTCTTGTTGTAAGAACCTCCACTTGATATGAGCCTTATCAAGATTCCCTGCAAGATCCATAATCGATCCTCCGCTTCCACGACCTGTTTGCAAAAATCCCTCTAATTTCCAAACCCATCGCTACAGATGAATCCGACTTGTGCGACCGTGACTAACAAACCCTCAAGAACACGTTCGTTCTTGAAGGACAAACCCCTTGGTTTTTCCTCGAAGCCCCCTTCAGAATCTTCAACCCAATTGAGATCCATTGAATACATAGCTGAACGTTATCTCTTGATCTCTTGATCCAATTGAACAAAGATGTTTGATTTTTGTTGTTGTTATTGAATTAAGATGATTGAGAAGATGATGAAGATGAAGTATCTTTTAGGCTTCTTGCTGCTCAGAATTGATGCTCACAATTGTCATATGTGTCATGTTGTTTTCTGCTAAAAAAACTTACTTATATATGTAACAGAAACCGGTTAGAGACAGAAATTCGTATTATGAGTCGATGCATGTTAGCATGAGTCGACTCATGTTAGTTATGTAACACAAAATGAGTCGATACATGTTGTTATGAGTCGATGCAAGCAGATATTACAACATACAAAACCAACCATTTTACATGAGTTGATGCATAACACGTATGTGTCGACACATACTGGATTAAACTTTTGATTTTCGAAGACAAAACCTGTTATGAGTTGATGCGTTATGTTATATATCGATGCATAAAAGTTCAAAAAGGTTTTCCAGGAACATCAATATATCATGTGTCGATGCATGAAGTTATGTATCGATGCATAAAAGTTGAAGGTTGTATTCCAGGGGCATCAACATGTTACGAGTCGATGCATAACATGGATATGTCGACTCATACTGAAGCAGAATCGTTTTTATGATTCTTTGCTTAAGTATGCATCGATGCAAAGCTGTTTGTGTCTACTCATAACAGTGTTTTATGTGTAAAACACATTCTTAACTCATTTTAAACATGTTATACTATATTTTTTTACAATGCACACATGTAGGTAACATTCATTGATTATTTCACATATATTTGCTATCATTCAAAACCAATTATATGAAGGGGTTGCTCACAAACTCCCCCTTTTTGATGATAGCAAATATTTGATGATGTGTGATGATATAGTATGGATGAATGAGATCCTCCCCCTGAGTTTGTCCATATTTAGAATTCTTTTCTAACACTAACATCATCTTCTTCTCCCCCTTTGACAACATCAAAGAGAATAAGATAGATTTTCAGCAATTTCCGCACACGTGAATTGAGATGCAATTTCAACAATCTTGTAACAAAAAGAACCGATGTCATTCACACAGAATGAGTCTTGGCATAAGTATGGTAATAACTGAGTAAACAAAAAATAATTATGGTGAAAGTATTTAACGTAGAGAATTGTTTGAATAAGCTATAGCAAAAATTATTTGAATAAAACATTAGAACAAACTTCAGAACAAAAGACATAAGGAGTATGTAATGAATAAGATAATTGGAAAGAGTTTAAAACATAAAGTTGGGTATATGGGTTGACCAAACTCAAATTAAAGGCATTAATTATCCTTATGTGTCGACACGAAATACGTATGTGTCGACACATCCTGTATTGAAGAACTATTTTAATGTTTCGCATCGACCCAAGAATCGTATGTGCCGACCATGAGTAACATGTGTCAACGCAAACCTTAATGTGTCGACCAGAAAACAATT